TGGCATATCTTGCTGGGAGGCTTTGGCAGCTTCCTCAGCCCTGCATATCCGAACGGCATCCTCCAGCGTCAGGGCTGGGGTGGACAGAAGCCTATGCCTCGTGTCATCATCACGAATGCCAACCACAAGCCTGTCGCGCAATGTCTCCTGGCCTCTCCTCTGGACTCTCGACCAGCATTGGCCACATCGACGGAGGCTACGTGTGCAAGTAGTGCAGAATTCTCCAACTGTGAAGTCACAAGCCTTGTAAAGCTCCTTCAACACTATCAGGAAGGAGTCGAACAACTCATTATCGTCTTGTTTCGAATTGTAGAACTCCAATCTGTCCAGTAAAGGGTTACAACGTCGTCTTACAAACGCCTCTATGGCCCCAATGATAGCGTCATCATCGTCCTCCTCGGAAATACAGATTATGTCTTGGCGGATAAACCGCCGGAGTTCCTCGTCTAAGGACTGTTTCAGTGCTGCCACTCTGGTTTCTCGGTCCTGGGACCTGAGGTGCTGGCAGCGTACAAAGTCCTCCCACGATTCTTTCCACGTCGTGAAATCTGCCAAGGTGGCGGTAGCGTCCAAAATTGGGCGTTCGACATTGATTGAGGTCTCCTTTGTGGGCTGACTTGCCCTCTGGGGTTCTCTTGCACCCTGGCTCAGCGCAGCGTCTAGCAGCGCCACCATTCGGTCATCCCGGGCAGAAGCCTGCTGTGCTTGATCAGCGATCAGTTGCGCCAATCGCACCAGGGTGTGGTCCTGCCTTGAAACTGGTTCACCTTTGCTGTGGGCCAAGTTGCCGTCCAACTTGGCTGCTTCCCCACCTTCCGCGTCCATTGCTGCAATAGCACGTCGGTTCGGGTCACTGCGCCATGTTATGTTCCACCAACTTGCATAGAATGAATCAATGTACATAAGGAAAGTGCCTTATGTACAGACTACATACACGTATTAGTGCTACAGACTACATATTAGCGCTAGCTAAATGAGCGTGCCAATTGTATGAATAATGTGATACAATTGATCCCTGTCCTCTGAAGTACATACAATATCACACCAACACAGGTGTCCCAATCTAGGCGATTGTCAAGGTGAACGCCGAGGTAGCGCTCAGAAGACGCTGAAGGGTGGAGACAATCGCCGCTTTTGACTGTTACTTCCTGTACATGCTGCTGGGGAGATATAGTCAAAACCTGGCTCTTGGTGGCGTTCAAGATGAGGCCTCGAGACTTCAACCAACCGGCCAGAGCAGTTGCCGCTGTGGTGAGGGTTCTAAGATCCTTTGCTATTGATTCTAGACCAAAGAAGGCTGCACGTAGTTCCAAGCAGTTGATATGAATGTGCTTCTCCGCCACTGTCCAAAGTCCTGATGCATGGCGATGACCACAGACTGCTCCCCAGCCAACTGTTGATGCTGCATCCGTCTGCATGACCAGGTCTGGAACTGGCAGAGGAATAGAACGCCCGTTGAACCCCTCCAGGTGCTGAAGACACCAAGACAAATCCTCCAATGCTGCTTCGGAAAGCCGGAAGAATCGAGAGAGCTGCTGAGGAAATCAGCTCCAGGATGCTAGCAAGGCGTCGAGCCGTACCCTGCCTCTGGGCAATTAAGCTCCGGCAAGTTGTCAACGTACCTTGTCCGTAGGTAGTTCTAATGGCATGGCTATTGAACTGATCTGGAATCCCAGAAATTCCAAAACCTGTAAGAGCTGAGGTTCTGACTTGCTGAAGTTTACCTGGAAACCCAGGGCCAGCAACAGATAAATGAGATTGGCCGCATGCTGCAACGCCTCTTGAAATGATCTAGCCATGATGAGTATATCGTCCAGGTACACGACCAGATGTACACCCTGTAGTTGGAAACAGGTGATCACTGGTTAAAGGAGCTTGGTGAATTGCCGTGGAGCAGATACCAGGCCAAACAGGACAGCCGCAAATCGGTACTACCGACTCCGCCACAGCACCTAAATGCAGCGACGGAGGGTTGGATGCACTGGCATTGACATGTATGCGTTGATTAGGTCCACTTTCATCATAAAATCGTTCTTTATCAGTGCCTCCCGCATGGTGGCAATATCTTCCATTATAAAATGGTGGTATTGCACAAACCGGTTCAATTCCCGCAGGTCGGCCACTGGGCGCATCTTACCGTTCTTTTTCGGTACACATAGCGGGCTGAAAGCGCCAGGTGTGCCAGGGGCACCTTTTCCCGGGCATTGTTGTCTTGCAGTGCCTCCACTTCCTCCGTCACCACTGCTGTCAAATCTTAGGACATCTTCCTGGGGAGTGGCTTCCACCACTGGACTGGTTCCTGACTGAACTCCAGGCAAAACCTTCGCACATATTGCGTGACTTCTGAGTCTTCGGTCAGCTGACGCCAGCGTCTGGTCTGACCACCAATTAGGCCGCTCGGACGTCCCTGGACCTCCGTGGCGGCCAACCTCCAGTCCAAACCCCACTTGGGTAACTGGGTGCATCCGCACTGCAGTTCTGGTGGTAGTGCCTGCAAGCACACCTCTAGAAGGAAACGTATTAGGCGCTGTTTGGCTTCAGAGGGCCTTGCTTGTTGTCGGGCTGTTGGTGTGACCGGGGTTGACACTGAGGCTTCTTGGAGTAATGTGGACGGTGAGGGACATGGCTTGCGGAGGTCCACCCATTCCCGCGGGCTCCTCCCCCTTAAAAAACGGCACAGGGGAAGCCTCCGAAGGCTTGCGGCATTTGGTGTTGTTATTCCTCTGGTCTTCTTCGAAGCTTGGCGGCCGTCTGTCTTTTCCAGCCACATGGCCATGACTTGCAGGCAGCGTATGACGTACATCGGCCCAGGCATTGTCCGGTTCCGCTCACTTAGTTATCTGCTCGTTCTGGGCAGAGCCAAATATTGACTAACCAGGGTTAGCAAGATCTGCTGGGGCTAGGATAGAGAGCGTGCGGTGGATCTTCGATAAACAGATGGAACGTCGTTTTATGGTGAGTGCCTGTTTAGCATCTACCGGGAGACGCAGTGCCGCCGTAGCGGCCTCCTGGATCAGCAGGGCCGCCGGAACCGGTCAGGCTGGTCCGGCCATGGCCGGACCACTTTCCCAGCTGGATGGTCCATGTGATTCGTGCAAAACCGGTGTAAAAAAATCCAGAGGTACATGACTCGACTGTTCTGCCGACGTGTGATGTGCTTCGAAGAAGCTCAGGACTACGTGACAAGCAGACTGCAGCACGACCTCATGAGCTCACCTACCACCAGTTACTCCTATCAAAATGCACGCACTAGGCAACATTGGAAGCGAGCAAAAACATCGCACAAGACAGAAGAGTCTCGATCGAAAGAGACTCCTCTTTCGATGGAGGGAGTCGATCGTATCGCATACATGGAGAAGTCGACACGAGATCATAGTTACTAAAATCTTTATAGATCACTTTTGTACCTATTCCTTGCAGACAGTTTTCAATCTTTTGGATGCTACCATCATCGGCACTGTATGGCTTTAATATTATGGAAAAAAAGTAGTTTTTGTGTTCTTTTACTATAAGTCTCTGCATTTTCTGGAGCCTCACGAGATGCCCAAATTCGCCCTATTTCACGTAAATTTTCATTTTTTTCTCCCGGGGGACATCCCCAGGACCCACCTCAAAGGTTGGCTGGACCACACCCAAACTCCTTCCTCCGGCCCTAGATCTGCTGAGCTTGCTCACCGAAGTCAGGGTTTTGCTTGTACCTCAAGAATGAAGCACAACGGGATCCACCGCATTCAACAACTTTGGCTGCGTCAAGTACTGAGGCCTATCCGGCCGAGCCTCTGAACGAGGTGGCTTCCTGTCAGCAGAATATACCATGCGGGCGACTTGCGCATCCAAAGCCAGGACTAATGCAGCGGGAGTGTCCGGGCGAGGGTAGCGTCGGGAAAATGCCTGCCCGGATTTGCGTCGGAGTTCTGAGTGAAGACATGACTTGGGAAGCTTTGCAGTTTCGTACAAAACATATCGGGTAAACCTCTTCTCCTCCTCATCCCGTCATCCGCTTGCCAGTCAGTATTGTGACCCACACAGTCGGACTCCAGACTATGTGTGCTACCAGACTGAGAGTCCAAATCATCAGTTGCCACACCAGATAGCGTCGTACAAGCGGCAGGTGGCTTGATTGTGCCAGACCTGCTGGATCTTCAGGATCACACAGGTTTGAGGGAAGAGGTTGTAGCCTAGGTGGCTCTCTTGAGGTGGACCGAGCAGCAAGTGGCTTCAGGGTGGGATTATTTACCAGGTCGCCATCAAGGAACCCGCCACGCGTATGCTCAAGACCGGCTCTAGATGCATGAGCGATGCATGAGCGGGCAGAGTAGACCTCGCCAAAGAGGACTCAGCCAATTGGGAAGGAACTGGGATCAGGAGTGGATCAGTTTCCGGGGTACATGTACCATCCACGATCCGCGAGTCATGCTCTTGCCTAGAGTTGGACTTCAAATTTCACACCCGCATCGACTAATGTGGCATTCCAAAGAAGCCAAACGCCTCTCGAGTGGGCGCAAGGCTTGGCCCAGAGCCCGCTGGACTAGAGAAAAAAACATCCTGAGGTGCGTAATCCATACCGAAAACTCAAGACAACAGAAAATTTCTAAGAAGCATTTCCTCGAGCAAAGAAAAAAAGGTGAAGAAGAAGCTAAAGTTTCCGCGTTTGAGCTTATTGATCACGTGTGGGGCAGTTTTCTTTTACGAATTTTTTTTCCAGCAAAGTAAAACCCTATTTCGGGTTGGTATACACTGTTATATCGAATCCCAAAGCTCCGATATGAAAATAGATTATGGGGATCCAAGAGATCGTTTTACACCTTCCTATGGTATGATGGCTTTTAGGAGAGGAGAAACTATCATAAGGAAATGTGGGTTGATAACACTATCTACCAGACCAATGACTTCCTGTAGAGTAATACTGCAGCTGCAGTTTACATGTCTTCCTATACATCAAGAAGATGATGACAATTGTGTATTGAGATAGATGTGGGTGCTGGTTTCTATAAACTAACCTTCACCCGATGATTGGCAGCATCAGCAATAAAGACCTTTCCATCTTTGCTGATTGTGATACCAGTTGGATATTTGAACTGCACCCTGCCATTACCCTTGCTACCAAATGATGTAGAGGTATCACCAATGGACCTATAGTGATTTTGTGTTGCAACCTGTAGATACACAGTAGAGACCATATTGATAAGTTAACAATCCTGACCGGGTGAAAATCATACTAGCTTGTTGGCCAATCAGTATTCATCATACAATATGTTCACATAACAGGAGAAAAATAATAATGAATGTTGAATATGTTATCCATGTGGTCTTCATAACATACCGTGCTATGTGCACAGTGTTTGATTACGTATTGTCTTAACAAGGAACACATATCAAGAAACGGTGTAGGAATTCACTGCCCGGGGAAACAAAACACTTCAAAAAGCTGTATGCTGTAAACCAGGCTGAGTAGTATTGGTCAATTCTCCAGCTTTGCACTTTTCATTGCTATCAGGCTGAGCCCATTCCCCCAGTGCTGTATTGATGAGGCCACAAAGGACAGAACCGGTGTGTGTGTGTGTGTGTGTGTGTGTATGTGTGTGTGTGGCGGAACCTTTGGGGAGACCCAGTACTGATGTCTACACGCCTCCGCAATCTACGTCTAGAATGCACTGGGCACGTTGCGCGTATAGATGAGGATCGCTTCCCCCCCCCCCCTCCAACTCCTCTTTGGGTGGCTACCTGTGCCTCGGCCGTTTTGTGGTCCCCGGCGACGGTGGAAAGACACGGTGATGACCGACCTCAAGTTTGCACTGCGACAGCCATCTCAGTGGTTCATCCTTGCTCAGGACCGCCAACAGTGGAGGGAAGTACGGGTTTCCCCTCAGTCGAGCTCCACCATGCCCAAGTCTGTGCATTGCGCAGTGTGTGACCGGAACTTCTCACGGGTCTCCGATAGAACGCGGCACAAGTGCACCACTCAAAGACGGCTTCCCATCCAGCTCCAGCGTGGATCAGTTCAGTGCCAGAACTGCCAGAGGTAGTTATGCAGCCAGGGTGGCTACTCTGTTCATCGATGCCAGCCTGTCACGAGTTCTCCTACACCAACAGTCAGTCTGTCTGTGCCACTTTGAGCTTGTTGCCAGCAGCACTGCCCAACATGTCAGCGATGCTTCCGTTCTGCGGCCCGGTTCAAGTGTCACAACTGCAATCGTGGTGGGAGACCATCTGCTGCGGAGAGAGCAGCTCTGCCACTCAGCTGCCCACATTGTAAACGCAATTTCCGCTGGCAGCAGGACCTAGCCAGACATTCGCGGTCCTGCTTGTGATCCGACTCCCGTTTTCTGGTCCCCTTTTCATAGGGGTGACACTTGCCCATCTGGGTAGTCATGCTGCTAGTAGTAGCAGCAGCAGCAGCAGCAGCAGCAGCAGCAGCAGCAGCAGCAGCAGCAGCAGCAGCAGCAGCAGCAGCAGCAGTAGTAGTAGTAGTAGTAGTAGTAGTAGTAGCAGTATTATTATTATTATTATTATTAGTAGTAGTAGTAGTAGTAGTAGTAGTAGTAGTAGTAGTAGTAGTAGTAGTAGTAGTAGTAGTAGTAGTAGTAGTAGTAGTAGTAGTAGTATGTGTGTGTGTGTATGTGTTTGTGTTCGCGCGCACATGCGTGCGGGCGTGCGTGAGTGCGTGTGTGTGTGTGTGTGGTGCCAGCTAGTTCGGTTGGTGGGTAGACTTATGCCTGATTGTGTTGGGTATGTTGCAAACGGGCTCGGCTGTTTGAAGGTGTAATGTTGTACCTGCCACCTTTGTTCGTTCCAAGGTTCATATACTTTCTATTTTAAGTATACATACCTGTTAACCCAGAGTTTTGTATACTTTTGGGGATTTCAGGGTGATTTCCCCGAAGTTTTGGGGATTTCAGGGGGTGTCGGCCGTTGTGTGGTTCAATAGCCAATTGAGTCATTTTTCCAACATTCCTTTTGAGTCCCTCTCCCCTTTACCGGGGAGACCCACGTGACCAGTTTTGGCAGCGAGCAACAAGTACAAGTACAGGTGTGTGTGTGTATGTGTGTATGTGTTGGCGTGTCAGGGGGGGGGGGGGGGGCTGGTGGTGAAATTACGTCCTTCGGAAACATAAAATTCATGGCTTTTTCATGTGACTTTCCTGTTAGTAGCTCTGTTCGACGAAAGTGTATCATTGGAAGGAATACACTTCAACACACTCAATGGACATGTATTCAAAAATCTGGAAGATCGATTGATGGGAATAGAGTCTCAGTCTAAGTTGCCATTATAACGAACCAAAGTGGCAGGTCGATCTACGCATTCTCACACGTCACAGTGCAGTTTCTCCACGTCCCAGATCGTCTTCGCTGTTACTAGTACTTCAAAGTATATGGTTTACACATGTGCCTTCCCTAGCATCTTTCTATGTAAGTAACGCCCTTTTCTTTTTTTAAACAAACGACGAGGAGACAATAATTTGATAACCGCAATCAATAAAATGAGCTTAACCGACATTTCGAACTTAACCGACATTTGTGTACTTTTTTCATGCAATGTAAAAACGGTGGAGACGATGTGAAATAAAACAATGAAAATAAATGGTGTAGAGTAAAAATATGGATTCAAACAAGTTTTCGTACAACACTCATCAGGAATCGTCGTTGTAGTAAAGGACACTGAAACAAAATTGAACTATTATAGACAATCTAAATTAGAGAAATAACACTAAGAACAACAGTAGTGAAATTTACAAGTGTGAATTTTAACAATCAAGGCGAGAGCAATAACGAATGCGTGTGCTAACAATAAACTTTCAAATGGAAAAATGAACAAACAAGAGAAAGAATGAAGGGAGGAAAAAGTGATAACACATAACAGCAGTACATTTCGCCTAGAACATTAACAGCCAAGCATGGCCGCACCAAAACACGACACGTTACTTGAACAATTTCAACCCGATTATACTATCTTTCTGTACACACAAATTAGGATTATACAAACGCTGATAGATAGCTTCCAAAACTTTTAACTGTAGTCCATAACCATGACGACCACGGCACAATACAGTGAACGAAGAGTCGGAATGCGAATTGCAACAATCAGAACTAGCTAGCAGATGATTGTACACTGAAGACTTGCTACCACGAAACCTACCCACGACACTAAAACTCTCACCGGCACTCTCAGCATCACTCCCATCATTACTCTCCGACTCACAGCTCCCTTCGCCGTCCGTTCCATCCTAAGCTTCCTCTGCACTCTCTCTGTCTCATCCATCCCGCCTGACCGGGTCCATTGAACTTAACTCGGCCGTCACCCAGCTGTCACGGCCCTCCTTTCGCCCTTGTCCGTTGAGTGCGTAGCTTCTGTTGTAGTTGGCTGTTGATCGTCTTGGTCGTTCAATTGTGGGCTTGGATGGTGGATTAGTTGTGGTTGCTGTAGATTGCGCTGTTGGTGTTGGTGCGGTAGCTGCTGATATGCAAGGTGGGTCTTTTTGAGTCGGCATTTGTAGTGTTAATGCCGCTGTCAGTGTTGCTCGCGGTCTGCCACTGGCAAGCTCAACTGCCGCAAGAACCGATGGCGGAGGATCAGGAGAAGGCAGTGGGACCGGGACCGCAAGTGGCACCGCCTCAGCCAAAGCCGCCGGGGGCACTGACGAAGGAACCACCGACGGCAGGAGCAAAGGCGGCGACAGAAACCAACCCGATGAGCCACCACGCCCATTCTCCTCGACCACCGCCACCAGCGACAGTGGAGCAAGCACAGTTTGTGAGCTAGGATCCGAGGGTTGTGTAGGTAACGTCTGTGTGGTTAATGGTTGTTTTCTAGGTCGCCCTCGTTTCGGTCTTTCTTGTTGTGCGAAAGTCGGAAGTATGTGACGTGGTGTGTGTTGTTTGATGCGTGCGTTCAGGTGCTGAACAGTCCTACCAACATACCGACTAGCGCATTATCAGCATTCAAAGTTGTAAATAAGATGACTACGGTGATGGGCTGGTAGGACATTCTTCTGCGCCATAAACGCACGCATCGTCGTAAAGACTGGCACGACGTGTACTGCGTAGTATGTTCGACGAACAACAGACTTGACTGCACTACACACTTTAGTCGACTCCTGCCCTTTCCACGGCAAACATAAATATACGGGTACAACGAGCAGTACCAACCATAGGAGCCTTCGTAGTTAGTTCGACTTTCAACAACTTCTGCAACAAAAACTCAGGGTACCCGTTCTTCACAAAAACTGTACGGAGAAAATCAAGCTCCTCCTGCAGCTTGCAGGACGAACAAATACGCTTCGCACGATCTACAAGGTTACGCACTCAGTTTACTTTATATTGAGAGGAACAATAAGAGTCACATGCAATGTACTGACCAGTAAACGTCGGCTTTCGATAAACGGTTGTCAGAAAATCACTACTCGTTTTGCCACAAGCACATCTAGAAATAACAATTCGTTGAACTGCTCTTGCTTTCATTTTCTTCTTCATTTTTCTCTTTTTTCCTTTTGTCTCTCTTTATTTTGCATTTTTGCTTCGGTCCGTGGTTGATTTCACGCTTGCTTCCTTTTTATTGGCTATTTTCATTATGTGACATGAAGTGCAAACAGTAAATAAATAAATAAAAATCTAGGGGGAGACCGCGGTGACGCTGGTACTCATCGCCTCCGCTCTCGAGGGTGCCCCGGAACGACGACGCGTACAGGAAAAGCCAAACATTTTGCATGTTATCTGCATTGTGGTCGTACCATCACTTCACAACTGCAACTTGTATGCGACCAAGGATACATCGGAGTTGAGGCTGCTGAACAGAGCAAGATCTTCCACGTTGAAGACGTGGTAGCGGACGACGACTTCGATTTTGAACTTTTAGCTTTGCAGTGCTGCGCGAAGTGAGTCACTTCTTTGCGTTATGGAGTTTTCACATCTTGCTGTCCTGTTCGCACTTTGGCTGGTGTTTTCAGGGATGACGCAGATTCCAAAAAGCTAGCTGCTATCCCTTCCATACTACTCTTCCTCCTCAGTACCTTTGCCCTTCTCTTTTTCATTCTGAACCAAAAACTGTAAACGACGAGCAGTTAGCCCAGTTCTTTTGTTGCATGGCAATGTGCCTGTTGTGGAAGGAAATGCAAAACATCGCCACTCCCATTGCTTTACAGCACGACACCTTTGCCTT